CGATGAATTATGGCGACGTAGGGACGATGAGATAGACCGAGACCGCAGAGATCGCGAGCTGTTTGTGCGAGCAAGGAGGCTAGATGATTACCCCCGAAGCCCTCGCTATGAGGCCGATCGGGGTAGAGGCGACTCCTGCGGCCGATGGGAGAGGGACGGCAGATACGAGAGATCGGACCGGGATGGATATAGGGACGACAGATACGAGAGGTCGGGTCGAGATGGCTACAGAGGGAGTACATATGAGAGAGGAGATCAGGACATGGAACGACAAGATGGGACACGCGGACGGTTTGAGCGCAGGGGAGATGCGAGAGAGCAGCGCGACGAGACGCGAGGATGGTACGACCGAGAGGACCGACGCGATGAGTCACGAGGACGCTATGACTCGGGGGACCGCCGGAATGACTCGCGAGGGCAGTATGAGCGAGGAGGGTCTGGAGGAGACCGGCGCAACGATTCGCGCAGTCGGAATGAGAGAGGGGGATATGGTGTCTCATCAGAACCATATCCAAAGTCGTCTGACCCCAACGCGGCCAGAAATTCGATGTCTAGAGGCGCAGACGACAGAGCGTCTACTCCCAGGAACTCATACGTCTACTGTAGAGGAGAAGATCATATCAAGAGGGATTGTCCGGACCTCAAATGGGCAATAGATGAGGGGCTTGTCGTGCTTGACGACCGCAAGTACGTCAAGTGGGCAGATGATCTGGGAGATGTATCAATGTTTCCTTCGATGAAGGAGAACGCCGAAGCAAGGAGAATAAAGACGAGTAAAGGAATGGAGTCGGTCAGAAGCCAGAGCATCAAGATAATCTTTGAGGGGGATATCGCGACCACACCCATAAGGGTGGCAGCCACCAAGTCAGCAAGAGGGTCTACATCGAAGAAGACTGACAYGGATTATGTGATGACGGAGAAGGACGGGCAGCGGATCGATGGAGAGGAGGTTATCCTTTCGCCATGAAAGAGGGGAGTGAAGAAGTTCTTAATGAAGAGTCCGTTGGACGAGATTGACATGGTTGAGCCACTGAGGCGGGCTCTTCGGCAACCAATGCAGTGCTCTATTCTGGAATACCTGGCGACATCGAAGCCGGCCCGTGATGAATTACAGATGATCACGCGGAAGACTCGCATACCTCTATCAAAGGAGGGTCAGGGAGCCCCTAAAGCGGAGACTTCTACAGTAGCGGTAACGGGGGTGACAGCCAGAGCGGATCGCATGGCGACAGCCCTTCTCGATGGGATGGAAGGCGTTTCTCCAGACAAGTTTTATATACTTGGTAGCGGGGCTGTAGAGACGATTATAAACGATGGAGCTGTACTTGATGCTGTGATTGATAACGGCAGTGAGGCTGTCATCATAGACGAGGACCTGGCGGTACAAGTTGGACTGGGCCTCGATAGGTCATACCTATTCGAGATAGAGATGACTGATAGGAGAAAGCAACAGATCACTGGGGTTTGTCACAAGGCAGCCATAGAGGTCCAAGGGGTACGTGTGACCCTGCCTGTCTTTGCAGTCAAGAACTGCAGCTCCGACCTGCTCTTGGGTCGAACGTGGCTGAGCCACGTGCATGCGGTGACGATAGAGCGACCTGATGGGAGCCAAACATTGTCCATTAAGAAGTCAGACGGGACGCGAGTAATGATTGAGACAGTGGAGCCTCGGGACCCGAGGAACAGAGCAACTCTCATTGTGGGTGCAAGACCTAGTGATCAGATTAAGTCTATACCCATCTCTGGCCGCGCGGTGCGATTTCGCGAGAAGAGATATGGATCACTGCTCACAGAGGAGGAAGGTAGGATGGTGGAGGTAGAAGACTTAGGGAGTCGGATAATAGTGGACGGCAACTCGTACCCGAAGGAAAAAAATGAGGAATTTGGCGGTGTGGTATCCGTGTCTTTTTTAAGGGCACGGCCCCCTATGGGGGGCTACCCAAGCGACACAAGCGAGTAGCTCAAAAAGTTAAGCCAGCGGCGGTGGGCCGCGAGCGATCGGCACTGAAAGGGGTATCAGAAGAAGAGATCGCGAAAGAAATCAAAGAAAGAAAGAAAAACGAGCCGCAACGCCTAACG